AAAAAAAAAAAAAAAAGAAGCGCATTTCTTTCTTCTAGTATGAATCACGGTAGAGCTGGGATGCATTAGAGCCTATCCAGCACAATTTTTTCACTTTAAGAGGAAATGGAGGTAGTTGAAAGTTAAATGTTGCATCAAAGATAATACACCTAGTATCCAGCACACAAAGCCTCCTGCATTGATTCTTAGATCTACTTAGAAGCCACAATTCCAATAGCCTTTTACTAGTGTTACAAAACATAGCAAGAAGACTCCACTCTCCCTGACCCCCAGGAATTCCAGGCTAGATCTGGACATAGCTAATTAAAACGGACATAAAGGATGTAAAGTCATCCTGGAGCTGGAGATCTAGCTGGAATTGCTGGGGGTCAGGGAGAGTGGAGTCGTGCAAGTATGCACATTGTCTAACACATACTCGAAATTATATTTATCCTCAGGACATCTGATTTGACTCCAATATTTTTATTGGTTTTAATTAGCTATGTCCTTTATAAATCTTTACCTCTACTTTTCCCTTTTGCATATGTCAGGCTAATCTCAAGTATAAGTTACCTGGAGGGGAAGAAAATACTTTTTGTTTGATCTTATGTTTGTGGCCACTAACAGCAGCATTAAAAATTAAAGTACAACAAAATATATAAGATTACAGAATCCTAGGAAAATAAAACAGGAATGTGAAAAAATGTGATCTAAGAAGAAACACCTCTAGTAGAGAGCTTCCAATCTCTTATCGTGCTTTTTATGTCATTAGATTTGTCCTACAGGCTAAAAAGCTTCGTTCTGATGATGGCTCCAAATACTTTTTTCTTCCAATGATGTCAACTTCCAATTATTTAGGTGTAAATAAGCAAAGTTTATCAAGTTGTCCTACAACATTCTATTGTCCGTTAATGACATCTTAATGCTCATTGGTACACATTATACTATCTGTAAATTTTAATACAACCATGTTATTTTCAACAGTACTTGTATTTTCTTCCTATTCTGGCATCAGATGAAGTCAACCAGGCAAAGGAAGCTTTCTTAAATCAACACTGGGGTGATTCTGCTCAGTCTGAGTGCGAGATTCTTTGCCAAAAAAAAAAAAAAAAACGAGGTGGGCTGTTCAACTTTGTTAAGACACTGAAGGATTGACAATGGTAAAGCATGTTATAGGAGTGCAGGATACACAAAGTTTACTACATATTTGATTTAAACAATTATTTAGGTGTAAATAAGAAAATACAACTTACAATGGGTTTGTGGGATATTATTTAGAATTTGCTCTAAGGAATTTGGGACGACTATAACCAGAGCCTTGGTTCCAGTCTAGCCTGGAGTCCCTTCCTTGTGTCATCCAAGTTCACGATTTGCTTCTGCGTGTTTGGTGCAGCGTCAGTCACAGTTGGGGATAAATTGGGATTCAATGATCACATTCTGAATACGGGCCCTTGTTATATACAAAAATGTGTCTAAATCTGTTACTGCTTACATAGTAAATGAATTGGATTAGGAGGTCATTATTAACAGGACTGACATCTATGGGCCTGTCTGGCAGACAGGATGCAAAGAGACAACAGAGAGCCTCAAGGAAACAACAAACAAAAATCTAAATGAAACAAAAACATCTGGCCATAAAGACGGAGAGTCTTTTGAAGCAGACTTGTAAACTAGAGCGAGCAGTGGGTCCAGGAGCAGTGGGAGTCCCACCCACACCCCATAACGGTCCTTCCTACCATCCCCATCCAGCATTCTCGCCTACCCTGACAGGGAAAGGACTGCAGCGGAGGGCCCAGTCCGACTATGGGATTTCTCCTTGGAGCACACTGGTCATGAGAAGTGAATGGAGTTTCTCTCCATTCCCCACAAAGGGAGAAGTACCCTGGGGGGGCGGTGAATCTGAAGGATCAGCGGCAGCATTTGGGGGAGATGGTGGAAAAGGGCGAGGCAAGCAGCAACAGGAACTTAGAGCCAGCCTGATCCTCACCCCAGTGCACACACACCAATCACCTGGAGAGGCTTTCTCCTGGACTTCCTCCTAATCCAAGGTGCAAGGCCCATATGTTAAAATATTAGGTATTGCTCCAGTGTTGTCTCACTACTTAGAAATGCCTGAGACATCCTGTGCGGGACCAACCTCCTCGCTCATCTGTGCTCTCAGTCCCTCTGCTCTCTTCTTCTGGTTGGTGCTCTCTGAGCAGCTAACTTCATTTTCTGATTACCCTGAAGTGAGTTCCTAGTTGGAATCCAGGTGGAAAAAAATTTAACTTACAGCCAAAACTTGGACTCCTTAAGGTTTTGCACATACAAGTGATGCGAGGATGAATAAAAAGAAAACCATTTATCTGGTAACTAATGGTTATTTTTATAAGAGATAAATAGCAATGACTATTTTTGTTAGAAGCTGTGCTTGATTAGATCTTACTAAATTTAAATATGGAAAGTATTAGCTCATCCAATATAGTAAATCTCATGCGGACAATAAGTAGTTCAGAAACAGATTGATCACACTGAAATGATTAGTAACCTAATTCTTTTAAAATTATTAATAACTGTTAACATTCTCTTTAAAAATTCATAGCCAGGCACGGTGGCTCATGCCTGTAATCCCAGCACTTTGGGAGACCGAGTGGGTGGATCACTTCGGGTCAGGAGTTCGAGACCAGCCTGGCCAACATGGGAAAATCCAATCTCCACTGAAAGAACAAAAATTAGCCATGCATGGTGGCGCACACCTGTAATCCCAGCTACTTGGGAGGCTGGCGCATGAAAATTGCTTGAGCCAGGGATGTAGAGGTTGCAGTGAGCCGAGATCATGCCACTGCACTCCAGCCTAGGCAACAAAGCAAGGTTTGTCTCCAAAAAAAAAAAAATTTTTCTAAACTATTTCATAACCATTTTATACTTCTCATAGCAATACCATTATGCAAATATTTCTATTATTACCCATATTTTATACCTCAGGAAACTAGGTGTTCTGTGAAAGTAAAGATGTTAGAAAACTTTTTCTAAGGCTAGACTGGGTGCCTGGGCTTAGAGCATTCAGCAAGTAGTTGGTAGAACCAGTAGCTGAATCAAGGACTTGAAAGTTTATTATTAAGTTTAAATATTAGAAAATTTATCAGCTATAAATACTGTGAAGAATAATTAGTAATAAGCCTGACATTTTAATAAATGCCATAACTCTTTGTATTTCAACTTCCACTTTTATTATCAGCTGAATAAAATATATTTTGATTCCCTAGAGAGAAAATTAATGAATATTTCTATGTTAACCATAAAAATACTAACATTCTACAAAGTAAGGTTTAGAATGGCATTTCATCAGAGACTAAATTGAGCCAATTAATGTGAGAGGACTTTTATTTATTCTTTATGTTTGTTTGTTTGTTTTTTTTAATGTAGGAAACAATTAAATTAGCTTAAACTCTTATTTAGAAAAGTAGAACATTGCCTGGTAGATCCAGACCAGAGTTTATTTCTAAACAAAATATGTATATATAAGGGTTGGAATATGATTAACAATTCATAAATCTTTTGCAGAAATCCCTATCACTTAAACATAGAAATATATGTGTCATTCCTTAGAACTAATAGTTACATTAAATGAAATACATTTGTCTGATTTCCCATTTTTTTTTTGTTTTTTTGTTTTTTAATCTCTGGGTTCTAGAGAGACAATAGGCACAACTATTTCACATTACCCTAGGTTAGCTATGCCTTTGGACTTCATAACAGGCTGTCCTATGATTGATTAAACATTCTCGGCCATTCTCAGGAAAGGATTTTTCTGATCCTCCATAACCAAGCATTCAAAAGATGCTGACATGCCAGGGTCCTCACACCTGGCATATCTATGTTGCTGATGTGGTCCCAAAAACTTATTAATAACCAAATTTATGGATCTAAATATTTGTTGTCTTTGGCCACAATACTGTTCTCTACCCAAATCTGTTACTGTCAGGATCTGAGAGTTTATTAAAATAATGGTTGAACAGCTAAAAAGGTAGTATTATTTGTTAGATTGCTTTATAGCTTCCAAGATTATGGATGAATAGTTTTGAAGGAATGAACCACATGCCTCCTTCTGGCAAATTTTAAACTCTTATATAGTTGAATGCTATCTTTATATTACCCATAAAAGTGTCATCTAAATAGCTTTTAAAAACTTTATTGGAGGAAGTCATATTTTAGGAAGTATTTGAATAATAAAGTGCTTTTCAAACTAGAAAACCAAAGAAGGACATGAAGAAAAAAA